CAGGCTATGAGGCAGGTGCCGCCTACACCTAGGGAGGGCTGCTGCCTTTGCTGTGCTCAGTGGGAACGCTGCCGTCAGCCTACACGGGAGCAGAGTAGCCTTCTGCACCGCCTTCCTGTCTGGGTCTCTGGCTGCTGTCCCCAGGACGTGGTACCACTCAGCCAACTGACTGTCAGACCACAAGGGCCAGCCACAGAGTGCTCCCCACCCGACGCAGGTACCCAGAGGGCCCGCTAAGGTGAACAGGCACTTTGGCACCCACGGTTAGGCCCCAGGACTATGTGAAGAACACTGTGGGCACTGGCTGGTGTGGGCGTGCGCTCCCAGGGCTGTCCCTCCTTGCTGTGGGCTCCTTCCCCTCCTGCCCCGCAGGACAACTGCCACGCGCCCAAGGTCCTGGGGGACACTCAAGACTAGAAGGCGGGACTCCCAGACCTCAGCGCCAGCCCTCACTCAGATGGCCTGGAAAGGAGCTCCCAGGGCCCCAGCCAGGCTGCCGCCCCACCTGGGAGACACGCCCAGGCCCGTCCCAGTCAAGGAGACGGAGCACCCAGTGTGCTGCCAGGCGCAGGCTGGCCAGGCAGAAGGGCCCTCCACGTGGAGCTCTGAGGGCTCAGGAGTCTCATCCAGGGAGCGGGCAGGCAGCAGCCAGGTTTCCAGCCGCAGGCGCTGTTCCTCTGTGGCCTGGCAGGGCACAGGCCCCGGGCCTGCCATAGCGACCATGTGCCGCAGGCAGCTCACCTGGAGGAGCGGAGGGTGGGCTGGGGGCAGAACCGGAGGCCGCACCTCACCTGTCCAGGCAAAAGGCAGGGGTTGACGGGCGTGACACCCAACACAGCGGCGTCCCCAGCCCAGTGGCGCTGTTTGACCCGACATCGCCCGTACAGAGCCTGTCCGCCTCACCACCTATGCCCTCAGCCACGGCAGAAGGCAGACACCCGTGCTCCAGTCATGAGAAAGCAGAGAGGGGCCTCTCAGGGACGCTCTGGCACAGGGACCGTCCCCTTGGGCGGAGAGAGGACAGAGAACGGGGCTGTCCTGGAACAGCACCGTGAGGGCGGCTGCTCCCAGCCTGCCCAGCCCTTCCCGGGCACCCTCGCTGTGCCCCAGCCCGGCTCCTGGGCCCTCCTCCGTGGGCAG